ATACATTCATATAAGTGTGTGCGTGTATGTATATAAGTGTACATGTATATGTATATATGTATTTATATATATATATACGTGTATATACACTTCATATGGACGCTTCATTGATTACGATGGTTGCAATACGTGCAGATTTTAGTCAATGGGCTTGAGAATGTTATTTGTGCCTACCTAGGCATGATCGCGTATTGAAGTTGTATCGCTATACGAACGTTAGTCAGCTGTTATCTCGTCTGTTGTTTGTGATTGTATCTCATGCGGGTGGGTATCGTACTATCTACCTACATACCGGAGAGCACCTTTTAGGAACTTGTACACACATGCGCAACTGCTTACTACACACATGCGCGGTTGTTTACATTTCAGTCACGCCGCCACTCTTGCCTCGTGACGGGCATAGTAGTGTTCAACCAATCCGCTATTGTTAGTGCTATGTGTATATTGTCAATTCGTATGCGAGTGTGTGCTTTGTATATGTTGCCAGTGTTTATGTGTGTTTGGCAAAAAAATATTTGTGTGTTCTTATGGATGCCATGTCGTATGATTCAAAGACATTGACCTTCGTGCACCCATCCCTCCTGTGCTTTGTCTCAATGTTCCATTGTAAGACAATCGCACTGTTGTAATCTATGGTGCAACTCTAGTCCCATTGTCGCAATCTGTAATTCAACTCTATCTACAATTTCCCAATATATTATACTACCATTTCCAAGCATATCATACTACCATCTCCGAGTATATCTTACTACCCTTTCCGAGTATGTTATACTACCATTTCCAAGTATATTATACGACCATTTTCCAGTACATTACACTACCATGGCAGGTAATCACAATGCCAGTGTAACGAATTCTGTCTAAAAACCTGATATCGTCTACGTCTAGTTTCACGTTACAGTATATGGTTGTACTTTGAACAAGACTCACAACATCACCATGCACGGATCTACATTGTTTCCTGTGGTACTGCTGTATCTGTGTCTCTGCAGGCGCTAGACGGGTGTGATACTTGTGCGCCAGCGTAATCGACAGTGCGTGTTTATTTATAGGTATATGCTAAACGTAGGTTTTATTTATAGGCATATGCTGAACATAGGTTTTATTTATAGGCATATGCTAAACGTAATGTTTATTTTTAGGCATATGCTAATGTAGGGTTTATTTATAGGCATATACTAAACGAAGGGTTTATTCATAGGCATATGCTAGACGTAGGGTTTATTTATAGGTAGTGGTGAACTTACAGTTCTATCGTATATAGTTCTCTATAAACCCTCGATGAGCGTGACCCTATGCAAGCTACTGTACTGTCCAAGCAACCCGTGTACATATCTCATATGTCTATACACTTATCGTCCGATTATTGGCTATACACTTAACGTCCTATTATTGTTGTCTATACACTTAACGCCCTATTATTATTGGCTATACACTCAATGTGAGATTATAACGTGTTTCTATCTGTGTAGGTCCGCGGTGGGCGTCGTGGAACCTTGGGTGCTTCGTGTGCATCCGTTGCTCCGGTATTCATCGCAATCTGGGTGTGCACATCTCCCGTGTGAAGTCCACCAATCTCGACCACTGGACTCCCGAGCAGATAGAGACCATCCAGGCCCAGGTAGGTTGCCACACGTTGACGCGTATGTGAATGTTCAGCAACAGGAAAGTAGTATTACTGTTAAGGTATCTGGTATTGGCGTATTGATGACAATCCACTGTGATGTTGATGGTAGCGATTTGGGCTCCCAAACCTGATTTACCTCCGTATCTAACCTGGTTTATCTCCGTCTGTAACCTGGGTTTTATTGCCTGATGGGCAGGGAGGAAATGAGGCTGTGAATGCGTACTACGAAGCAAATTTGCCATCGCACTTCCGCCGTCCCGTCAATGACAGGTAACCTGGTTGAAGTACAGATCTGTATATCTGTTATATAAATCTGAACTATATGGGTGTGAATATATCACTGTTTTGAAGTACAGATCTGTATATCTGTTATATACATCTGAACTACATGGGTGTGAATATATCACTGTTTCAAGTACTGGTATGCATATATATATATATATATATATATATGTATGACACACAATCTTTGGATGGGTACGGTAAAGTGTTGGTGTGTACATATTTTTGCGTCCAAGAAGCTGTGGCTGATCGTGGTTGGGTGTGGCGAGGATGAGACGCAATCTGGAGCTTCGTATGCACTCGCAAGTATGTATTTGTATAGAGATCAACCCAGAATACCACACACACACAAACAAACACACACACACATACATGTGCACTTTGTACTGAGAGCGCACACACTGTCGCTGGCCATAGCAATCAACACATACAGACGCGCATTATTTCAACCGAATCAATGACGAGAACCCTGAGTCCGTTGGCTAATCCATACAGAGAATACTTTATTTACGTCACACACACACTCACCCACTCACTCCTTCACTCACACCATATACACCTACACATCCACACATGTACACAACCATTCTACTACACTGCATACACACAAACACTCTAAAACACTACTTACACATTAACGCTCTCCCACACTACATATATACAAACACTACCACACTACATACACACAAAACACTACATACACAAACACTCTCATATACCACTAACGCCATACTGCACACACAGGGATGCCGAGGACTTCATCCGAGCCAAGTACGAGCGCAAAGAGTTCGTTGGCGGTCGCGGCGGTCGTGACCGCGAACGTGACAGTGGACGAGGAGAGCGCAGTAGCCGAGACGATAGAGACCGACGCGACCGGTGAGTGGTAGTGATATATGCTGTGAGTATAGGGTGGTGGTGGGTATTTTAGGGGTGCGTGTACGATACTAGAACGATATATATATATATGTGTGTATGTGTGTGTGTGTGTGTGGATGTAGGCATGTGAGTATGTATGTATGTATGTATGTATGTATATATGTATGCATGTTTGTATCTATGTATACATATATATATATAGTATAGCTATAGCTATATCTATGTCTATGTCTATGTCTATGTCTATGTCTATGTCTATGTCTATATCTATATCTATTTATATAGCTATAGTTGTCATAGCTTGCGTTCTATCTTATCTATTATATTTCGTAGCCATGAACAATTCATCGTATTCTATTCATGTAAATTTTCTTTTCGTATTCGTTGCACCTACCATCACTTTATTGATGGCGGGCAAGTCTCTGCTTGCAGCCGTCGTTTTGTACACTTTCACGTTCGCATGCTCATTGTTGTCATTGTATAATATTCACTTGTTCGTGCACGTACGTATATGTATGTTTTTATCGTTATATTCGTATCTCTTACGCATATGCATGCACAGCATACACATACACATACGCACATAAGCATACGCATACACACACGCACATTTATATTTATATTCGTATCTTTTGTTTTTGCCCACAACGCCTTTAGCGATGGCGATCGCAACAGTGACAGATACGACCGCGACCGCCGCTCACCCGATCCAAGGGACAACCGAGACAGAGACAGGTGCGTGTGTGAGTCATTCTATGGGGAAGCTCACCCATGATGTTTGAATCTTAGTGTATAGGAGGTTGGGTTTTGCATGCATATATATATATATATTTATACATTTACATACATGCACACATACATATATATATACATACATACATACATACACACATACATACATACATGTGTAATTTCGGCTCTGGAGCAGCTCGGGCGTATGGATAAGTCGCAGTGTGCCTGAATGTGATTTCACACTTGTTTTAGGGTCTAGGGTTTTATGTGGTTTAGGGTTTTTAGGGTTTGCTGATGAATCCTGCATGCGTTTGTGGTGTGGCACAGAAATAGAGACACACGTGACCGTGACCGTGATGTCAGGGGCAATCGCTATGAGGAAAGAGGTGCAACGGCTGGGAGCAAGTACGAAACCGACCGTATAGGTGCAGGGGTGTCCAGCTATGGGGACAGGGACAGGGGTAGCAGAGATAGTGATGCCACCGATGTACGTAGTTCAAGCAGCCGCAAAGTGCCCCCAAGACGGGCGGTGGACCGATATGCACCCAAAGCTGCAGAACCGGACAGCCCTAGCCCACCCCCGGTGTCTTCGCGTACATCCAGAGACAGGTGTGATAGTTGGTGTCCGCGGTGGAGTTTTGGGTGCAAGCTGGTCTTTAGGCTCGAGATCTATTTATAGCAATTCAATTGGGTTGGGTTTTCAGATATATATGACTCAATAGAGATGATCTATTTATAGCAATTCAATTGAGTTGGGTTTTTAGATATATATGACCCAATAGAGATGATCTGTTTATAGCAATTTAATTTAGCTGGGTTTTCAGATATATATGACCCAATGCGTTTAGTTGGTGGCTTAGTTTCGGTGGATCATTGGACACGGTATATATTAGTCCGTGTCCACACTCTTATACCCACATGTTCGCTTTCGCATTCTGTACTCTACTCTACTCTACTATATACTATACTATTAAACCCCTACGCCCACCCTTCTTCTCCATGCATATATACTCACATCTGTGCTATGCTGCCTCGGGTGCAGTGGCAGAGACCGTGACAGACCACGAGACTACGGTCGCAGCGACCGTGATGTGGGTGGACGTGATGGTGACCGAGAGAGAGATAGAGATAGAGACAGCAGAGATGCACACCGAGACAGGGACACTCACAGGGACAGAGATCGCGACCGAGATGAGGTGGGGAATGCTTAGGGCTGCTATAAGGGGGAAGGGAGGAGTCGGTGGTTTTCGGTAGAGATAGTCGGTGGTTGTCGGTAGATAGTCGTTGGTTGTCGGTAGAGATGTGGGTAGAGATAATCGTTGGTTGTCGGTAGAGATGTGGGTAGAGATAGTCGTTGGTTGTCGGTAAAGATGTGGGTAGAGATGTAAGTAAAGATGGCTGTGATCCATAGCTAGTGGACTTGTAGTGTTGGACGTGAGTGTCTGGGGAATGTGCCTGCATGCGGTTGTTTACGTATTGAACCCTGCTGCTGTTTGTGCGTGCGTGGATGTTGTCTGTTTTCTTGTCTGTGTCGAGTGGCTGTGGCTGTGTGCGCGAGTGCAGCTACACCTCACCGTGTGCCGTTGCTTAGTCTCTTCTGTATTGATATCATTCGAACTCATGCCCTTGCATTGACTTTCGCTTTGTCATCTCTCCAGCGATATAGAGGTAGCACTACATGGATTATACGTCTATTTATCGCGTTTCTTCTGTTATTTCTGCAAGGATATGGCAGAAGTACTGCATTGCTTATACGTTTCTTCATCACGCTTCTTCTGTTATTTCTGTAGGGATATGGCAGTAGTACTGCATTGCTTATACGTCTATTTATCGTGTTTCTTTGTTATTTCTGTAGGGATATGGCAGTAGTACTACATTGCTTATACGTCTATTTATCGCGTTTCTTTGTTACTTCTGTAGGGATATGGCAGTAGTACTACATTGCTTATACGTCTATTTATCGCGTTTCTTCTGTTATTTCTGTAGGGATATGGCAGTAGTACTGCATTGCTTCTACGTCTATTGATCGCGTTTCTTTTTTATTTATATAGGGATATGGCAGTAGTACTACATTGCTTATACGTCTATTTATCGCGTTTCTTCTGTTATTTCTGTAGGGATATGGCAGTAGTACTGCATTGCTTAAACGTCTATTTATCGCGTTTCTTCTGTTATTTCTGTAGGGATATGGCAGAAGTACTGCATTGCTTATACGTTTCTTCATCACGTTTCTTCTGTTATTTCTGTAGGGATATGTCAGTAGTACTGCATTGCTAATACGTCTATTTATCGCGTTTCTTTGTTATTTCTGTAGGGATATGGCAGTAGTACTGCATTGCTTATACGTCTATTCATCGCGTTTCTTCTGTCATTTCTGTAGGGATATGGCAGTAGTACTGCATTGCTTATACGTTTGTTCATCCCGTTTCTTTTGTTATTTCTGTAGGGATATGGCAGTAGGGGAGGCTATGACGACGGTAAGAGCGCCGCGCCTATCCGCATAGAGATGAAGAGTGTACCGGCTTCTACCAGGGGGGTGGGCCGAAGCGATCGCGACAACAGGTATGTATATATGTATCTGTATCCATATTTATATCTATATCTAGGTGTTTATCTACATGTATCTGTATCTATATTTATATCTATATCTAGGTGTTTATCTATATATGAATCTGTATCTATATTTATATCTATATCTAGGTGTTTATCTATATATGAATCTGTATTTGCATTTGTATCTGTATATGTGTCTAGATGGATCATATGCCTACGCCTGTGTCTAGTGTAAGTGTGCTTGTTGCACAACTTGGTCAACACAGTGATCTGTCTGCGTATGCAAGTATGGCTCGAGTTCGCAGACAGGTTCGGTTCATTGTACTACTCATAGATACCATAGTGATACCCAGGTGTACTATTACTTGGTAGTATAATGACTGGTCGTATCCACGGGTAGCATAGTACAAATTCACATATCGCGTCTTTCTGGGAAGGGGACTGTTTTCAATTCTCGTTAAACAGCTGTTGGCAATTCCAATTCACCAAAGACTGAAAGCAGTTCTTAGATATATATACACTCATATATGTTTGTAGATACCGCTATATGTCTATGCATGTGTACCATCGTAGTAGCTAAGCTTCATCATCGCCATATGGCAAATGCTCAGTGTGGTTCGTCGTGGTTCTGTGGTTTTGTTGCAGGTATGATTCACCATCACCGCAGCGCCAACGCAGAGACAGGGACAGAGACAGACGCGATAGAGACCGCGACGGGTGAGTTCTACATATACACATGAAGAATACGTACATGTGGTTGTATTTTTCAACCAATATATATATATATGTATGCATATGTATATGATATGTATGTATGTATGTATGTATGTGTTGGTGTGTGTATTTGTATATATATATATGAGCATGTACATGTATATGTGTGCGCGTATGTGTGTGTGTGTGTGTATGTATCTATATATGAATTTATGTTTTTGTGATCATCTTAACATTCGCATACATATTACGAAGGGCCAAGACGATACTGATCTCGTAGAGCGAAGGTTGTATATGTATATATGTACATACATGTGTGTAAATGTGTGTAAATTCAATGTATATACATATACAGAATGCAAGTAGTGTCGGCATGACATGTGAGCATGCCCACCAGCCGATATACCACCGTACAGCTCTGCTACGGCTGAGCATTTGATCAGATAATCCAATGCGAAACTGTGATACCGTTTTTAACGCGTAGCAGCGAATACACACACGGGTCAAGTAGGTAGCTGCAGTGTATTGTAGATAGTGCACCGTGACGTAGGTAAGTGTAAAGGCTTAGACCACTGTAATCGAGACTAACACATTCGATCTCATTGCAAGGGGGGGGGGGCAATATATTCCCGGCAATGACATATTATTAGCCGGTATTATTTTCTCACTATGCCAAATAGTGCGTCTGTCTGCCGAGCAATGATTCCGAGAGATAGATAGTGCAAGCGCAAACCCTTACAGCTACACTCCACACCCGCTCATGAACTCGCTAGTCACCTAGGAGATATCTTTCTATACACACACACATATATATATATATATATATACATATATATATATATATATCTATATCTATATTATATGTATATGTATATATTTGTGTGTATATGTATATATATATATATATATATTTGTGTGTATATGTATATATATATGTGTTTATATATATATATATATATTTATATAGATGTACAAGTATACAAATATACAAATATACATGTACCAATCTAAAGTTCGTCGCCACCACCCCACTCAATGCACAGAGATCGCCATCGGTCAGATAGAGACCGCGACTATCGAAGGGACTCCGATCGCAACGACAGACGCAGTGACAGAGACACTGACAGCCGCAGACGAAGCGACGACCGCCGCAGACCCAGCAGAGACGAGCGCAGCCTATCTCCCGCTGGGCCCTCAGGTGGGTTTGTTTAGTATGTGTATGTGCGAGAGGATGGTATAGTTTGTATATATATATATATATAGTGTGTGTGTTTGAGGTGTGTGTGGAGATAAAACCAGGCTGGCGCGACCCCGGGAGGGAAGTGTGCAGTTCTCGATTCAGGTAGTATGACGTGTGCGTGTGTGGCGTGTGTGCTTCTATATAGTATAATACACTCCTACATATATTATATACTGGAGCACATAAAACGCAGTAGCACCGATAGGGGACATGCACACTGCCCTGTGCTAAAACCCTAAACCATTTTTAGGACCGGTTGACCTATTGAGCGTTGATGCTGCGCCAATGGCTAACGCACCGCCGCCCGGGCCAAACGCAGAGTTCGACACTCTGGCCAATCAGTTCGGGAACATGGCCGTCGCTCCCGAGGTATGTCGTATATTGTGATTACAACTTGTGTGTGTTGAGTTGAAGACCAATTACTTCTGGTGATCTGGTCGTTTTTCTCGAAGTGTGTCACAAATTGACGTCAATTGCCAGGGCGAGAGCCTTGTTGTGTAAAAGTAATGTTTACGTACAGAGTAATATTTACGTACACGCACCTATTCACACGCCCGATACTGCACGCAGCACCTTAGTTGCACCCAATTACTTCACCAAGCCAAATATTCCAAATACACATATGAGTGTAATCGGGTCAAATATTCATATTATACTGTTGTAGGTGAGAAATTAACGCCTTAACAAGTGATGCACATCCTTTATGGTGAAGCATAGACACACCAACACACTACCATGAGAGTCACAGCTGTACATGCATACACACAACGTTGTACACTCAATCCATACACACATACACAACCGACTATAGCTACAACTATACGCACACCCTTTATGGTGAAGCATAGACACACCAATACACTACCATTAGTCACTACTGTACATGCATACACACAACTTTGTACACTCAATCCATACTCACATACACAACCGACTATAGCTACAACTATACGCACACCCTTTATGGTGAAGCATAGACACAACAATACACTACCATTAGAGTCACAACTGTACATGCATACACACAACGTTGTACACTCAATCCATACACACATACATAACCGACTATAGCTACAACTATACGCACACCTATGCAACCCCTTGCGACTATTCACGTTCCCACACTGCGCTCACCTCACCCCACGACACGCTTTCCTGTCCCTCGGCAGATAAAGTCCGCCAAAGACGACATCATGTCCTTATTTGGACCCACCCCCACGGCTGTACCGAACATGGGACCTCAAGGAATGCAGATGGGTGGAATGCCCTCTATGGGAGGCCTACCAGCCATGCCAACGATGCCTATGGGGGTATGTTCGGTACTTGTACTCGCCGTAGCATGTGCGCAGCAGTACTTCTCTCGCGTAGACAGTAGACATCTACATATCTATACTTATCTAATCTATATCTATTTATCTATCTATTTGAATCTTTCTTTCGTCAAGATAATAGCGAGGCCGTGTTGAAGGCCTTTGACTTCACTATTACCAATCCAACGACATTTTAAGTTCTGTGCAAAGTACTTTATTCTGTATTCTGTGTTTGTGTGTTGTGTTGTGTTGTGTGTGATATATATATATATCTGTATATGTTCTGTGTCTCTGTCTCTGTCTCTGTCTATTCGTTGGTATGGAAATTATATGTGGCTTGTGTGTGCCATCTCTCTGCACATTCCCTTGACTCATGTCATGACAGACCTATTCCATGTCTCTCGTATCGTTCACAGTCACATACACTCCACATAAGTCTACCGAAGGGACGCATCTATCTGTGTACTGGTGCTACTCACAACGCATATACCACGCATTGAGGTTCAAACACACATTGGCGCGTTGTATTTATAGCCGACGCGTATATGCCAATCCTGTACAGACCTTGCCTCAATCAGTGAGTACTGAGGTGTGGTTTGGGCATGCCAGTTGTTCGTCGTGTGTCAACAGCTGTGACCTGTTGTCGCATTGCCTCCCCTGTTGTATGCGCGTGATTGTTTCTACTGTGTTTTGGTTCAATGGCTGGCCGCTGCTTAATCCCTCGTCACCGCTCACTAATTCTTTCATCGCATTCTCTGGTGTACTGTTTCTTATTTCCTTACCGTGTTCTGTTGTGGTTTCGGTTTGTCCGTTCACTACTTCTTGCATCACATTCTCTGGTGTACTGTTTCTTATTTCCTTACCGTGCTCTGTTGTGGTTTTGGTTTGTCCGTTCACTACTTCTTGCATCACATTCTCTGGTGTACTGTTTCTTATTTCCTTACCGTGTTCTGTTGTGGTTTCGGTTTGTCCGTTCTACAGGGTATGCCAGCCATGCCTGCCATGCCGGGAATGCCCCCGATGCCTAATATGGGCATGTCGGTATGTCATTTACTCTCACACGCCTTCTATCTGCCGGTTTTTCAAGATAATAGGTTTTGACGTCTGATTTCTGCGTATTCTAACTGCCATGCGCAAGCAGTGTATGTCCTTAGTCTGAGCTGTGATATCAGCCGACAGGAAAGAACGTATATGTGCGCCCGTGATTTATTCTTGTCGATCTTCGGCACTATCATACAGCCTGAGTAGTCTCCGATTTTTAATTCACACACTTGTAGTTATATTCATATACATGTATATATGTGTGTATGTATGTATGTATGTATATATATATATATATATATATACGTATATATATACATATACGTATATATATATATATACGTATATATACATATATACATATATATATATATATACGTATATATATATGTGTGTGTGCGCGCGTATATAACTATCTAAATATTTATATAAATATAGATTTAGATATATAAATATATATAATACGTGTGAACGATGTATCGGCATGGACAATATCGGAAAATGTTTAATTTTTCTCTTGTTTTTCTTCTTGTCATTGGTTTCACAGGCCATGCCGGGAATGCAACAATCGGCGCCCACAGGCATGCCATCGATGCCGCCAATGCAAGGGGTAAGCTGTTTTGTGTGTATATACTATGTAATATATAGGAATTCATATACCTGAGTTTATGGTTCCATTATAAATATCATGTGCATGGATCGTGTACAACATTTAAACATTCACTGATTTGGGTGGGGTTGAGTATATCTGTACACAACCGATTTTGGTAGTATTTCGTATTCAACATAAACTGATTTAGAACATGCCTTCTACCTTTAAACACAGACTCGATTATATCTCGTACTCAACTCTCACATATCCTATTTAATATAAATAGCATACTGAATTCATGTAAAGTGTGTATAATCATATTCTGATTAACATCCCACCTTCAACCATCACAGATGCAGATGCCAGGCATGCCCGGTATGCCCGGTATGCCCGGTATGCCGGGACTGCAACAGCCCAACTCCCGTGGCAACTTAGACCCGGCACTACAGCAGAACGGACAGCAGCAAACTGGCTTGGGAGGCACTATGTGGTAGTGATAATCTTTCAGAAGCGACTCCTTATTGTGTATTAAGGGTATATGTTGCCGGATGGTGTATAGGAACACATGCAGCTGGTTATGTATATAGGAACACATGCAGCCGGTTATGTATATAGGAACACATACAGCCGGTGAGGTATAAAGGTTCTGAACCCGGCTGAAACAGTGAAAGCGCACATCGGACTACTACTGCACTGGAGCGTATATAATAAAGTATAACCCAGTTCGAGGGCCGGGCGTACGATGCGTGCATACGCTTTTGAGCATTGTTTTAGAACGGTACTATCCTGCCATACTCGCGATATATGCACATGGGCAAACTGTAGGGTGGTACATGTTCATGCAGAATAAGAGCCGTAAACTAGGCTCATCCATTACGCTCGCATTGATGGATGGGTATGCCAGATGAGATCCCACTCTATGGAGGTTCTCACTGTTTATTGTTCGAGGAAGGTTTGCGGTGTACTTGCTGGGTATGAACACCGGCTCAAATGGACATGTGATGATAGAACTACGTACACTAGCCAGGATGATGAGTTAGCGATAATTGTGTTAACAATGTTGTGTTAATGATGGTGTTAGTACTGGCCTCAGCCACGGCCGGCTAACTCAGAGACTAAATCACATACATGGTGTCGTACCACAGTTCTCATACCTCATTTAATAGGGTTTCAGGGTTTACTGCTAGTCTTGAATCGAAAGTACGGGAATAATAGAAGGACCAGACACAATCCCATTCCCTGATCTCTGGTAGCTGCTTTCAACCTCATTACCCGATCTCTAGTAGCTCTTATCAATCCCATTACCTGATCTCTGGCAGCTTCTATCAATCCCATTATCTGATCTCTGGTAGCTGCTTT